TTCACCTTATTTATTATGTACAAGGATGTTTGTTTGCTTTGCTGTTTGCGTGAGGCTGATGAATACATGAAGTAGTCTTTATTCTGCCAGGTTGCCAGTGATGGAAATAGACAAGCGTGACCTGTGCCTGACATTCACTGCTCTCATCCTGTTTTATTTTTTACTTTATTGTATGAAAGCCTCTGGCCAGGAGAGCTCTGTTGATTCACGGCAGCACAAATGTGTGTGTGTATGTGTATGTGTGTGTGTGTGTGTGAGAGAGAGAGAGAGAGAGAGAGCGTGAAAGAGGGTAAGAGAAAAATAAATTATCTTTGTTTACATTCATCTTTTTTTTTTACATGATTCTTAATGTGTGTGTGTGTGTGTGTGTGTGTGTGTGTGTGTGTGTGTGTGTGTGTGTGTGTGTTTGCATGTGTGCATGCATGTGCATTGCTTAAGACATCTCTCTCGAATTAGACCTAATGCTACATGACAGTTCTGGATCAGACTGCTAGCTATTCAAGGCTACTCTCCTCACTACACGCACACACACATACACACACACACACACATGCAAACACACACAAGCACCAACCTGTGCTCCTCTAACCCTCATCCTCCATATGGAAACAGAAAAAAAAAAAAAAAAAAAACTCAGTATGGTTCAAACACTACAGCGCACATCACCGCCCTTGCGACCAACACTGTTACAGGGTGCTAAGTGAATATCTGCTCTGCTGTTGTTATCGGATCCCTTTGAGGAATGTGTGTGCTGTGGAGCAGATACAGTGTGCATCAGGCCATGCTTTAGTAGTCTGTTTTTGAAAGCATTTCTCAGTAGTGTATGCTGTGGTTGGTTTCATTCACTGATGATATTAATGAGCAGCCTTGGGCTTTACGTGAGAGTCCCTCGCTGCAAGTAGCACGGTACATGAACAGCACCTTTTCACATATGATCAAACAGACAACGTAAAAGGGCACCGCAGCAATTTAGTATTGAACTTCCATAAAGTGGGGAGGGCTTGTGAGCGACAGATTACAGAAAGAATGGTCACAAAGGTTAAGAAAAATATGCAGCGTGTACCCGTGTCAGTTTCAGTTATGCTCAGTTCTTCAGTCTTGAATAAAGGAAAATGTCCTTGTTAATTAGATAATTGTTCTGTGTAAACATGTGAGTCTCAATATCTACACAGATAACTCAACAAACTAAAGGTACAGTGAATAATAGATAAAAACTGTAATTCTCAATTCGCAGTATATAAGATATAATTACAGATTCACAGCTGAACTGCCGCAGCATATGATGATATGATGATATATGGTGATATTATCAGTGACACTATAAAATATTTCTTTCCATGCATCATGTACTGTATCTATTAGCAGTAGCTGACCGATACAAGCTAATGATGTTAATTAAAAATGGGGAAAATACATTGTAATGGCATGCACATGGCAGTATAATGAAGCAGCAGGGAAAAAAATATGCATTTTGATCCCCGAGGCAGAGAGAGGAGAGGAGAGGAGAGGATAAAAGATAAAAGATTTCTATCATTTCTGAATTTTCAAATAATCTGTCAGAGTGATAAACTGCTATTAGAAAGTTTCCACAGCTGCTTTCATGCTCCCACTCTCTACACTGCTGTCAATTCCTCTCCTCTGTCTCATTTGCTCCTTCTTTCTCACTTTCTCTTTTCCACCTCCTTCTCCCCTCCCCTGACGTTTTTCTCACTTCTCACTCACTTTTCTACCCACGGATGAAGTGATTTTGTAAGACTACTAACAGCTCTGTTCTGAAAACACTGGTTTGAGTGCTCAGTAATTGGTGGAAGGGTTTAAAAATGGAGCTGCCGCTGCAAAAGGCATGTGGCCAGACGGCAAGTCCACGATGACTCAGGCTTGCTGTTGGCTTGCTATTCCCAGTCCTCAAACTTTTGGAGAAATGACAGTCATTATTCAACAACGAAAATGCAGCCACGGTACGTATCTGCATCTTAAACAACCCTGAATTGTGCACAGTCAAGTCGCCTGAAGCAAAACATTTGGGTACGGTTATAAATGAGCAAAACCGTTTTCAAAGTCACGAGCGCATGTGAGAACTTTTTGTTTGAAATAAATTAAGTTCCTTCATTAAAGCAAATGAAAAGATGACGGAGAAAATGAATGTCGCAGACTAACCACTCTTGTACATATCAATGCTGTTTGAGAAAGTGTAACATATTAGATTAGTAAGTTCTGCCTCACTATCTTGTATTATCACACATTAACACGTTCTGGAGGACCACCAGCTGACAGTAGATCGCAGTTTATGAATTCATTTGTATGATATCATCCTGGCACTGCAGCCCGATGTTCGAGCACACAGTGGAGTTGAGCAGCGAGGTGGACACTTATGCCTCCTAAAACCACACCACAGCGGGAACTAAGTAAGGCATGGAGGGAAATGGCCCAAGTTAGACAGCTCAATATCCTCAAATGCTCTCCTGAAATGCCTCACAGTGTCGTCAACGTTAGGCAGTTGGTTTCAGTTCCCGCTTTTCTTTACTTTCCTTCAGTGTCCGGTTACACTTATCAGCTTCTGCTCTTTTCCTCACAGTTAATACCTTATGTCTCCTTTGTTCTCTTTTTGTGTTTGCTCCCTTCTGTCTGTCTCTCTCTCTCTCTCTCTGTGTTCCGCACTATCTCTTTCTCTCTGTGTTAAAGTCATTGAGGTGTAAATTCACATTAGTGTGAGCATTCCTCCCAGACAGGAGCTACCAATGACTGGCTATATAGGTCAGAGTAAACACAGTGAAAACTGCGCGCCTGCACATGTGTGTGTCTGTGTGTGGTGACTAGCAGCAGGAACACTGCTGCATTCTGTCACCAGGAGACCCAGTGAAAACATTTCTCGCCTCACATCTATGTCAAGATACAAACAGGCACAAACCCACCAACACAACTATGTCGCAGAAGTGACCTCACGATAGCAGCTCGTACAAACACAAATGTGCACTACACAGCATGAGAGGTTTCCTTATTCAGGTTGGCAGGTGCTCCCCACCCCACCTCTGTGAATTGGCCCTCTGGTGTCCATATAGGTGGTTCTCAAATCTTTGGAATTTACGGTTGGATGCAGGAAATCAGAAACCTATTTTCCTCCTTTACCACTGACCTTTGACCTACGTGATTAAGGCTGAAAACGGCCTGTCGGAAAGGTGGAGGGGTTTGAATTAAATCCCTCCAAAGACTGACACCTACAACTTGTTGATGTGACTTCATTCAAATTTCAGAGATCAACCAATTGCGTCACCATCACTCATGTATGTGCAATGTCAGGCTGAGTAGATCAATCAAACACAACCTAATGTAGAACAAAGGGTGAGCTTATTGACGTAAAAAAAAAAGATTAAAAAAATCAGTAACACATTCAAATTAGACAAACTACTCACTGCAGCTTCAGGATGAAAAGAAACAAGCTCTTTTGAATGAGAACTATAGGACATTCCTTTAGTACTGTAGCTGCTTCTGACAGCTTATATAATGTGTATGCACCTAAAGCAGGTTCAATACATGAAAGGTGCTGTAAGAACAATACAAAAACAAGGGACCAATAAAAGTTAATTGCATGAAGCATGTGTCCGAACCATGATGTTAAATTCAGCTAGTAAAATAATTAATAGTTGATCCTTCTGTCAAATGCAATTTGAGGAGCACTTTCCCTCGATTATCTCTGAAAATGTCACCACTGTAAGAGCGTTTTTAAGGTCAGTCCCCACCTAGGAGTGTTTTTGAGTGTGTGCTCAAAAACACTCATGTACAAGTGCGTGCATGATTGGGTTTGTGTGACTGTTGAAAGCTTGTGCGCATTCAGATATTTATCAGTGTATGAGGAACTGTGCGCATGAGGTGCGTCATGCATGTGACTGTGTGCCATCATACGTATGCATGTGTGACTTAGCCTAAAGTGTGTGACATGAACTGTGAGTCTTGGCTATGGAAATAGTAGCTGCTCTGCTCTCCTGCTGTGTCATCCGTGGCTGGCGCATTAGTGTCAGTCTGACTCTGAACGGTCACAGCATGTTCACCCTGCGTCCGTGGGGCGGAATTAACCTCCCAGTCTATCAGAGAGGGTTTTAGAGAGAATCGATAACGCAGCCCACCATTAAATAGAAGCCAACCAACTGATAATGGCCAGAGAGGTGGACAAACTAAATCAGTACAGAAAGTATGAACAGCTGAAAGCCACTGCGTCAGACCTTTCCTGTTATATTTGGTGAAATTAGGAGAAACAGCTTTGAATAATAGATATTAGTCTGGTTTCAAGATTTGTTCCTATTTGTTTTCTTGAACAAAATGTTGATACCCAGCAAAGTTAGGTAGTTTCATTTTGGAAAATGGCACTGAAATATTTCCAGTGATGCACAACTATGGAGAGCGGTGGGTTTATCAATCATCCAGGTCATCTTGGATTTACTCCTAAGTGAGAACAGGGTCATTCACTTGGTGGAACATTAAGACGTACTGTGCGTCCACATCATTGTATAGATGTAACTAGTCAAAACTAGCGAAAACAAGCGCAGCATCCAGGCATGTGTGATTGCAACATGACCACAATCGTGATCAGAAATGACAAGGTCATATTGTAAGGTCAAGTGAGTTCGTCTTGACTTCAGCAATTACCGCCGAAGCTGATCAAACCGACAGTTTGATTAAGGATCGACTTCACTGGCGAGAAAACCGTCAGGGACGTACAGAGACCCCAGCTTGTGTGTTTGGGTTAATTTGGACTTGCCAGAAGACACACTGGGCGTCTGTCTGACCGGGGATGCTTACGTCATTATGCTAGTGTGTATATGTTGTGTGTGTGTGTGTATGTGTGTGTGTGTGTCTATCCTGAGGCAGTGACCTTAATCTGGAGCACAAGGGTGACACAGGCTCAGACCAGACAGTGACAGAGATGACCTCATGCATCAAAAAAAAAAAAAACACACACACACACACACACACGCACGCACGTCTCCATGTTGGTCCTTACTTACCTCTGGGGCGATGTAGTCTGGAGTGCCGCAGAAGGTGCGCGTGCTCACTCCTTCTGACATGTTCTCTTTACACATGCCAAAGTCAGCAATCTTAATGTGTCCCTCACAGTCCAGCATCACATTGTCCAACTTCAGATCCCTGAGGAAGCAAACAGACATTCAAAACATCCTCTAAGCTGTTGACTTTTTGCTTTTAGACGTCTCATCAGGTGGCTTTCACCGCTAACGCTAACTGCCTCATTCTTCTGCTATTTATCCCAAACAAACCCCTGCTGCTGCTGCTGCTGCCTGATGTTTTCATCAAAAGACAAACAAAAGCAGGATCTCTCACTATAGAATGGTTAACTGCTGGTATGATCAGATATGAAATATGTCACAGAAAGTCTAATTATTACTTTGAATATGTATGTAAACTGTGTAAACTGGTTAAAACTCACCTGTAGATGATTCCTTTACTGTGCAGGAAGAAGAGACCAGCAGCAATCTCCGCTGCATAGAACCTGCAATAACAACCACACACTTACAGATTCTCAACACATGGAAAATGAACCTTCATAACACTTGAAGAAAGCTTTTCTATATTCCAGAAATAATTCCATCACAGAAAATCGTACACTGTACAAAATTGCTATAGTACTGTAGCAGCTGCTGTTTCTTTTTTATTCACCATTATATTACAATACAAGGTTGCTAAGAGGCTGTAGTAAAATCTTACACTGCCTGAGGCTCCTTGAACTTGCCCACTTGTTGGATATGGTACATGAGGTCACCCCCATTCACATACTCCATAACAAAGTAGAGACGATCCTGTGGTCATACAGAAAGAGGTACACAAGGAGAGGAGATGGACATGGACATGGGGAGGATAGAGGGAGACAAATATGCAACATCACTATTTTTGCACAAAAAAAATTGCAAGTTCCACAAAAGCTGTGAAATAACACAGCTTTTCTATTCGCTGTCAAAGCTCTAAACAGTAAAGATACAGTTCAGTGTTACAGCCTCCCCCCGCCCTGCTGTCTGAGCCGTTCCATCGTTCCACGCTACACTTTCCATGACAAGGTGACCTAAAAAGCCCACAACAAAGCGTTTCGTGGAAAAAGAAAACACTCAACACAGACATCTGTCAGGAAATATTTTCTTTGTCTAACAGTGCTGGTCCCTTACAGCCCATGACAAGTTTGGCCTGACCCTCGTCAGGCTGTGTTTGATGGTCCCTTACTGTCAAAATAAGAAACAACTATCCCTCCTCTGACAATGTAGACGGTGTACACTACACCCGCTCTACATCTCTGTACCTCTCACATTCAGCTGTGTTCTTCTATCTCACTGACACAGTGGTGTTCTCACTCAATAAATGATGCTTCAGCTGGATTTGATTCTGATGAATATTGACAACATAGTGTCATACAAAAAAACCATTTTGGGATTCTTTTTGAAAAGGGGAATTTCATCGTAAGTCTTAAAGCGTTTGTGTGAAACAGCTAAGTGAGATCAAACCTTGCCTATGAGCCTGTATCTTTACTAACACAAAAGCTGAACTGGATGAAACTCTAGCAGTTTGTTACAGTTGGATACAATGGATACAAAACTTAGGGAAAATAAATCAGACTCTCTAATAACACTTACAAACTGAAACATCCAGACAATAAGACACTCCACAGAGTCTTTCCCAGCAGTGCTATACCTGCCTTTAATGTGCAAATTTTAGTTTAGGATGAATTATTGTTTGTTTCACGGGTTTATAATAGGGCTGTCACATTATCAGATTGTGACTACACGATTATCATGGCCAAAAAAATTCACATAGGACTAAATACGCAATCAATACGATATTGTGATCATTTTGGCAGATATTGCGATTGTGATGTGAGTCACCATTTCAGTTGGAATGGTCATTCTTGCATTTATTTTCATTCACTGAAACTTTTTAGAAATGATGATGATGTGAATTTGGTTGGAGCTTAATACCAAACAAGAATGTTCCCTTACATCTGGAGAATATGATTTGTAGGCTGGGGCATCTCTGTAACACCACAATACTTAATTGATGGTATGTTGTGACACGTTTTTATCACATTTTATTTTACTCATTTATTTGGCCATATAGTGATTTCGATAACATTTCGATGAATTTTTCAGCCCTAAATTCACAATAACGATATTACTGCGATATCTATAGAAAATTTGAAAAAAAAAATAGTAATGCTTTCAGTGAAATTCATCTGTAACTTAATTTATTCTACTCTTTTTTGGCAAATAAATTAGTCTCAAATACGAGTGTAGGGAGGTGGAGAGAGAGTCTGTAACATAACTGTACAAAAAGAACATTTATATTGAATAGATAGTGAAAAGGCAACCAGATGAACTGATAAACAAAAGATCCCCAAGACCTAACATCTGCCATCACAATATAATCATATGTGTATTATCAACATGACATTAATATTTCATTTTTTAAATACCATGGTTATCATAAATACTGGTTTATTGCGACAACCCTAGGTGCAACAATTTTTTTTTTTAATCCAGTTAAGTCTGTGTGCAACTAAGTTAGTCTGTTTTTGTGTGTGTGTGTGTGTGTGATGTGTGCGTGGGCTGGGGGTGTACACGTGTTTGTGTATTCATGAATATGCTATGAGCCAAGCTGTGTCTCTTTCTATTTCCTCCGTCTGCCTGCTGGTGCTACAGCTCTAATCAGCTGCTATAGTTCAGCTTGGCCTCGTTCAGCTTTGCCGTCGTCTAACCAGTGGCTGGGTGCATTTACCAAGAGGCATTCTGACAAAGCTAACCAATGATTTCCTGCACATGTGGACTAACATGTATATACAGTATGTACGGAGTGGGGCATGAAAAAGTTCTAATGAAAGACGCTGTCAGGTTAAATTAGAGGAACTGTAGGGTCTAGTGTTTTTGGAGCTTGACCCTTTCTAGAGACTAAAAATCGGGATATCAGGTTATTTGACTTTATATGTGTCATGAAAGGACAAAGACCATCACATTATGCCGCTCAGTCAGAAACCACCAGCTATTATTATCTGTGATACCTCGAGTGATTCTCGAAGACATGAAAGACATAAAGGAACTTGATCTGAGAGGGATTTGGCTCAGGGTTTAGGAAGTCCTGTCTCCATGTCTGGGTGGGTGTTAAAGCGAAGCAGTGAGAGATGATCCTCGAAGATTTCGTAGACACACGAGGAAGAGGGAAGACTGACTGCAAGTTATTGTGTAGTATATGTGTGTGCATGACAGCTTAGTGTGCCTTAGTGGCATTAAATGTATAGTTGTTGTAATGAAGTTTATGTGTGTGTGTAGCCAGACTTGTTTCCTTGCATGTGGATGCATACATCTGTATTTGTGTCTGCTCTTATGTAAGGAATCACAATGAACTTGTATTGACATGTGTGTGTGTGTGTGTGTGTGTGTGTGTGTGTGCGTGTGAGCATGTGCTACATAATGTACCTGTGTGTGTGCACAAAATACATGTATCTATGAGAGCATGTCTCTTCACTCATACACTGTGTGCTCTCAGGTTGTGTGGTCTGGTTCTGGTATGACCACACACACACACACACACACACACACACACACACACACACACACACACACACACACACACACACACACACACACACACACACACACTCCTCAGCATTCCAATTGGGGTTTGTTTGTTGCCTCTTCTGTTTTTGTTTTTAATTGTACTCGTCATGCACGTCCTCTACTGCTCTCTACATCACTTCATGAGTAATATGTTTAGCTAAAAGCCCCCTCATGAATTAATTTGCGTGACCTGACCTGGGGTGACTTGTCCTGTTGTGTTTTCCAGGAGCTTTTTACCTACCACAGTCTGGAAGCACGAGTGGAGCTGTGTGAGGAAGGGCGGCTTGTCCTCTTGGGCCAGGACTCTCTTCTCCACCATGGTGCATTCGACATCATCGTCCTGGATCACCACGTCCTTCTTCAGGATCTTGATCGCGTACAGCTCTTCAGTGGCCTTCATCTCTGCCAGCATGACCTTCGGAGAAACAGGGAGAGGGGTGGAGACAGGGCAGGGAACGATTTATTCTTGGACGTCTTGCTCTCTTTGTTGAGATGCATTTTGATTTCAGCTCAGCTGCCTCACCTTGCCGAAGCTTCCTTTCCCCAGCACAGCCAGGAACAAGAAGTCGCTGAGTTTGACTTGGTCCAGGCTGTTGGAGGGCAGCTGGCTGGAGCGGGAGTCGTCCATTTCGTCGATCACCTTCTTACCTGGGCCTAGCTTGGCTTTCTGTACTCAGGGCACAGAGGACAAAGTGTATAAGAGATACACATCTTAAAAGTAACACACACATAATGTAAAATGACAGTGTGTAGTTTAATCAAAATAACTAGTTCCTCAAATTCATAAAATGTGGACCTTGAAAAGTTATCAAATTGAAAAGAGACCGAACAGTTTCTTTGTGGTGGATTCTTCTTGTGGTGAGATGCAATGACGAACATTTCCAGACCAAACCTTCCAATGTCCCTGTCGTTAAATCCTCTACAGTCACTATCATACACAGGAATATTACAGATGTTTGAATTTCATTCCTAAGATGTCATATGACAGCTTTAGCTGATTATCCTCTTCATGCGCTCACACACTCACTCACACTGTTGATTTGCTCAATCACAGCCACAATACACCGATTGATAAGCAGAATTCAAAATTAAGTGGGTGAAATGAGACTGTGGTGCCATTGTGGAGCTGATGTGATAAAAAAAATGGCCCCATACAAACAAATACCATTTAATAAAGTGCAATAAACTGTGTCAAACAAGAGGAGACGTTAACATTTATTTACAATTGTTATCTTGTTGCCTGTGACCCAGCCATCTTAAAACGTGATAACAAGCAATTCTCATTAAAATGAATTACAAGCTCAGTATGGGATGTTCTTGTCGACTGTTATTTGTTAACATCATAATTCAGCGGGAACTTTAAACTAGATCACTAACATTATGAAGAATGAACATGAATATATGTATGTTAAGTGACACTTTTATCGAAAGTCAGACTATCTAGACACTCTTACGTATCACTTAACATGTTGTGAAGATGCACCTGCATAACTGGAAACAGGCAGAACATCATTTTAAGCATTACATTATTGCAATCACTTCTTATTGTGTGGTAAAGGCAGACTCTAAGAAAAAGCCATTTCTATTGTTATAATCACATCAAACCTAACAACTGCACTGCTGATTTCTCACTGGAGACTCCTGGAGTAATGAAGGCAAGGATGCCACACTGTGGCTTCTCCACGTGCATGCATGCGCAGACAACTGTCTCTGACGTTGACCTGTATTTGCAGAAGTGTAAAGAGCTTCTCTTCTTTGTATTTCCTCCATGCCAAAGACATGCTCAATCTCCCAGTGGGGCAAGATGCTTCAAGACGCTTGCTAGAAAACTACAGCACATTATGCTAAAAAAATTACACATATCGAGGCATCCTGAATGCTGAAAAACTACCAAATATCGCATAAGTTTCCCTACTTTTCTGTCTTTCTGCACAAAAGCACACCCCACATTGACATGTCCAGGTTTCACACTCAGCCAAGGCCAAACACAGATCCAAAATCATGCTGTACTCCGACACCATAACTACAATCTACATCCACATGCTACAAAGAAGTTCCTGAGAAGATAGATGGATGTAATCTAGATATGTGTAAGTAAAGGGGAAGTCATGCCCCCTGTGAGCAACCCACCTTTACCAGATGTAAAGCCAGTGAAGGTCGCTTTGGTATTAACAAATAATCACTAACAGTTTCTCTACAAAGTCGCTCATGTATTTTGGAGAAAATGGTTTCAAGACTCTTTCAATATCTGTTGACAGAATAAAGAGATCTGCAGGAAAAGAATGGATGTTATCGGACAACAGACTGATATGACAAATTCCCTGATTCATCACTTTTCACACTTCAGGAATCACTTTAAATTTCTTTTTACGCTTCAATTCAGACTATTTCATACTATTCGGATTAAATCAAGACATTTAACGTGGCACAACCAACGCTGAGCAGCTTTAGTTTGGTTAATGGCATCTACCATAGTCTGCTCTTAATCTGGGAGAGCAGCAGCGAAACTCAAAGCAGAGCAGACCGCACCAGACCACAGCACACCTGTAAGCTTTAGCCAATAAAAAGAGCCTGGCCGAGCCGAGCCGAGCCGAGCCGAGCGAGCAGCCTTACTTCCTTCCTCTCAGACGCACCTGATCAGAGTCTTCCACAACTGCTTGGTCCTGAAACCATAGGGAGAAGGGAGCCAAAAAGGCTCACTCACTTAGTACGCTTGAGTATAGGTGTAAGCCACAACAGCTGATTCTCATATGCAGATAGCTGCGGGGCAATAAGAGTGTAACTCATACACACAGACAAAAAAGAAATTGCAGAGTTCGATCCATAGGTGGTTGAATATATGTTTACAGAGCTGCCACTATAACAGTCACAGTGATATAGTGGTATCTATCAGTGTGGCACAAACGTGGAACATGCACATAACTTAAGTGAAAATGACCTGACCTCTATTATTTTCTTGAACAAGCAAAAACCCCAAATGTGACTTCATTTTTTATGTCTAATTAAAGTTGGATAACTAGTTGGATATTACCATGGTGATTAAATAAAAAAAAATAAAAAAAACTGAAGGTCAAAGAAATTCAGCAAATGTGACTGAGAATCATAAAGTATAAAGTCGGTGTGGAAATCAAATCTTCGAGTATGATGAACAAGCAAGGTGAAGATTTATGAGTGGAAAAAATAGTGTTACCTTGCAAGCACATACACACACACACGCGCTCACTCACTCACTCACTCACTCACTCACTCACTCACTCACTCACTCACTCACTCACTCACTCACTCACTCACTCACACACACACACACACACACACACACACACACACACACACACACACACACACACACACACACACACACACACACACACACACAGCAACATTATTCTGGCGATGTATGTCAGTTCAGTGCTGACATCTGGTGGCCATAATAGGTTTTGTTTCTCTACATGTGCTGTATCAAGTGAGGCCTATTTCATTAGTTCACCATTCCTGCATTAGTTCAGTCTGAATGTGGAGTCTGATGTCAAGATACAATGGGATGTTTGCAGATAGAAGAAGTAGAAAATATGACACATAATGCTTCAGCAAGCTCTAAGAGAAGACCATGTACGTCCAGGTTACACCTGCAGCGACGATGATGGAAGCACGCAAGATGTAGACAGGCAGAGTGATCCATAGACAAGGCACATACGGAATACAAAGACACACATGCAGACAGATGTATAGCCATGAACTGTGAGCAGTACAGTGTCAGGATTTACTAACAATCCTCTGACAACCTCTGAGGAACAGGAAGCAGTGAAGCCGAAGAACTGTACTCTCGGTTGATTCAAATATACACATATTCCATATGTGGCGTCGGGTGAAGAAATTTTGTTGTAGTAAATAAATCCATCTGCAGTTATATTTTCATTCCCTTTCATCCTCTACAAAAATGCTCTCTTGATTCATGCGGAAATTTTGAGTTCTTCCAAGTTCAGACATTGATTGTTTTTATTGGAGCAATATAGGTTTGCTTCTTTCTGTTTATTTATTGTAATTTCTTTTATGAATACCCAACTCACACCCAGAACAAATTGTTAGTAAACTGGATCGATTTGCAGTAGTTTGGAACCACATACAAATGATCAGACGTGAGGAGGAGTGAAGGAGACGTGTCACCACAACAAGATGAGACAAAAGGAGGAGGAGAGGAGAGGAGAGGAGAAGAAAAGAGAGGAGATGAGAGGAGAGGAGAGGAGAGGAGAGGGCTACCTTTAGATTAAAGTTAATTTGGCAGTCCTGAGAGCAGGGGCAAGAAGGGGAGAGAGGAAGAGAGAAACTCTTGCATTAAATATGACAACGTGACACAGGATGAAGAAGCATTTGTACAGTATAAGTCTCACCAAGCACACAGGAGGGAGCAGGAGGCTAAGGGGAAAAAAGGGAGAGAACCACAGAGGGGTTTATGAAGAGGAAAAACAAGAAAGAAGACAGAGAGAGAGAGAGAGAGAGAGAGAGAGAGAGAGAGGGAGGTTCTCCAGGCCGTATGGCATCCAAAAAAGATAAAGACAATAAAGTTAAGTGGACGGCACACTTAGGAAACTTTAAAAGCCTTTATATTAGGTACTGTATATATCAAACAGTGTTGCCATTGAGGTAATGCTTTTCAGGTTAAAAAGAAAGTGGTTGTTTTGGAGTGTCAGATGTAATCATATATACTGTAGTATGCATGCTGAGCATGCTGCATAGAGAATACTGTCTTGCGAGAAACGTTCGGAGGACCACCTGTTGAACCCCGACACACACGAAACACCAACACCTTGACCGTGGTGCATCATGCATCTCATTTTGGTGAACATATGTACTGCAGGTCTTGTGGAGCTGTTACCATCACAACCACATGCAGACGGGTGATAGGAGGTCAGACTCTTCTCCGATCTCAATCAACTCTCCTGTTCTTCACCTTGTTTCTCCCTCTTCCCACCATCATTACAGAAACACCTCCTTCTGTATGAAGACCTACAAAGACCTGTTCCGTCATGTCACCACTGAAAAAAAGAAATGTTTCAAACTCCCAAAACTGGCCGGGTACCTGACAGCTCCTGCTTTGGAAAACTAGCTCAAAAGGTAATGGACATGTTTTGTGAGGCTGCAAAAAGTTTGTTTACAACGGCAGTAGTTTTTAACACTTATGTTAAAGTAATTTTTATATGGAGTTGCGAGGAATAATATAAACATTTTACATTTATTATTGTTGAAATATGAGTAAAATCCCTATCCTGCCTTGCCATTTTTTCTAATTCTACCTACAATGGTCCACTGTGTGTGGCAGAAATGTCACGGAAAATTCATTTATAAAGTCTCCTCAAGAGACCTGGGTTCCCACTGAGAGGCTGAACAATATGAGAGGACAATCAGAGGACCACAAAGAGCACTGCTTGGCTCTCAGCAAGAATCACTGACGCTTCAGTATGAAGGAAAGGAGCATGCAGTCATGTCTCGTCTAATGCACCTTAAAATGGGTCTTGTGCAATGTGTTTTTGTTTGCGTGGCATCTGAAAGGTGGGAACTTATTATTTACTTGTAATTCAAGATACTGTTACATTATTCTCAATTTTTTTATCTTTTTTTTACATTTTACATCATCAGTGGAAATGTGCTTTGATCATGATCATCAAATCATTTTATATAAATCATGTCGAGTTGTCATTGAGGAGCAGAAACAACTACATTCATCCTATAAAGAGGCAAAAAGTTTAAAACTTTCACAAATCGCTGCAAAACTACAATGTCAGCCTCTCACAAATGTTCAGAAAAGGTCAACATCAGCTACACGGCTTATAGTGCAGTGAGTGGTGGTTTATTTTCAAGTAAAAAAAAAAACTACAATTTCCAAATCTTTTGGAAACTGACTGAATTCTGGGAACTAAAATTTAGTCTTTATTTCAACAGCTTGCGATTCTACAAACTGAGTAAAAGCAGTTCTGAGATACAAAGCATCAAAGATCTGATATACTACCTGATAAAACTGTTTATATGCACACACTACAATTAGTGTGACTATTAACTAACAAATGATACAAACTCTATTTGTTTAAAACAAGATACAGTATCAAAATATCTCGGACCTTGAATCAAATAGCCTCGTTTTTGTCAAAGAAAATGTCTCTGTAGATTAAAAGACAGCTGTCGGTGCGAAAAAAAAAAAAAGAAGAAAAAAAAAGACATATCAAAGGGCTGCTTTGATTTAACTCCAGACGGGAATCTCTCTGATGTAAGAGCGAATCAACGCACACATCACACACACGTTCGTCGTAGAAATGAATTCTCCTGTGCAAAACCACCCTGAGCTGAGGAGGTCTTTGAAAGCTGCAGCCGTCTCACCGTCATCTTTAATTTAACAGCTGAGGCGAGCATGTGACCGCTCGATAATTCTCATGGACATGCTTGTTTGTAAGCTGAGGGCGCCCGGACCAACAGCTCAGATGCTCATACTCACCCATTAATAGTGGATTAAGTAAAAAGTAGTTGGATTTATTTAAATGAGATAAACAAGGTTGGACTGACTTAGGAAAGATGTTGTCAGTGTGATGGCCTTAGTCACAAACCTGGACACAGCTGTGACAATGACTGAGTTGCCAATGTCATCATCAACAGTGACTCTGATATAAATATAAAGACAAATATTTTACTAGTCACCCAAAAGAAAAGTCTCATAAAGAGCCATTCATAGACCAGAAAAATAAGCATTGAGACTGAGCTACAAAAAAAAAAAACAAAAGGCAAACAAACGTATCAGAACTAAGAAACGACAAGTCAATAATTCAGATGACAGATGACAATAATGCACAGTGGTGATAATTTAAGTGTGACCCTCACCTCAAATTTCTGCCTCAGTTCCTCATTACCATCATCCTCCTCTGAGATGGGAACATTGTAGTACTCCCCTTCCTCCTGGCACAATAACTTATACCTGGGAGAGGAAACCAAGAAGTGAAGGAAGAGGCAGGGAGAAAGACAGGGAGGAGGAGGATGGAGACATACGGATAAACACGGAGAGAAATGTTGTAAGATAGGAAACTATAGCAGATGAATTGATTTACCTTCCCTTTTTCTACTCAACTTTCATTCATCTTTCACTCCTCTTGCCCTACTGGGCATAGGTACAGTTCATAGCAAAGCAACCGTCTCTATGGCTCTGGTGGATCTAGCACCAGCCTTAGCGTTAGCACAATTCCTGATATGTCTCAGTACATCTGCTTTTATTACCCACCACAAAATCCCAAACTCAGCCCACTGTTTAACTGAGAGGGTGCTGTGTTGTGTCGGGAACCTGATATAGAGACTTTTACTGGACACTAAGAGGCAGAGGAGGCTAGCTTCATAAACTTCACTAAACTGCTGACCCTTTTGTTTCTATTGATGTATGTTGGGTTTTGCTATTACTAGTTATGACTAATGGGGCCATTAATAGCCATTACCAACAAAATTATAAAATTTTTCATTATGTTTCTTTTTATATAATTCCATAAAACACCACAGGATACAGGATAAGAATACAGAGCTACAGTATGTATATGTTGAATGAATTTCAAAGCTGCTGGAGCCTCCAACTGGAAACTTCCCCCTAGTTAATACCAACACTGTGCAATTTCATGAGTGTCGATGGTAGTAGTCTATCCTTAAGGAAGTGAGCGTTACCAGCCACAGACTGGAGCTTTCATGAGCTCTGACACGCCAAAAGACAGAGCTCCCATGAAGTCATTCCTGGTGGTCCGGTCCCAGTCCCACACCTCCACCGACAGCCTGCGGTCCTTATCTGTAGGTTTCAGCTTGCTGTGCAACACAGAGATGGCATTATGATTATTATGCAAAAAAATATGTATATATAAACGGCACTGGTTGTAAAAGACTGCACAGACTATAACACATCATTATCATCATTCAATTAGTATATAATGAATGACCTTTTTAAGTAACAACTCCAACACTGGTGACAGCGACAGCAGTAGCAGCAGTACCATTCTAAGCAGTGGTAAAAGTGTATCAGTGGTATTATAGTGATGACATGGTATTATAGAGGATACTAAAAGCAGCAGTACAAGTAGTTTATACGTCGTTTTTAATGTACATCTGACATCAAATTCACATTACATTATATTCGTTAGGCCATGAACATTAAAGAATAGACAATAGTGTACTGTAGGCTGTAGGTGACAACAGCTAATTGACTCACAAAGTAAAGGACTCGTTCCATGTGGGGTTGAGGCTGGAGCGGATGGTTTTGGTCTTCTGCTTGGTCTCGTTTTTGGGGTCTGGTATGAGCTTGAGCTTCACATACGGATCAGACAGGCCGTTGGGGTCCATGGGGATCATGTTTTTGCCTTCACCCACTGAGAAAAAACAAAGAATAGAGAGAAAATATGAATTCGATGGACACATACAAGTGCATGCATGCAATTTGAGTGTAATTTTACTGCAAGAGTGACTCTGCAAAAGCAATGCTTTTGCACGACTGAGTCTCCTTACAGGAACTCAAGAAAACAGAGCACAGAGGCCGTGGCTTATCCCATATTCACCACTCATTACAACGCAACACAATATAACAGTATTGATTACTGATGGATTTATTAAATCAGCATTGTTTCAATAACTAAATTAATACATTATCTGACTCTTGTGTCTACAATGAAGACCCCATCCGTATTCTGTGCGGTTTCTACAGTACAAATTGCTTTGGTCAGGAAACACAGATGTTTTCTTTTAAGCAGCAGGAGAATATCAATAGAATAAAGTGCAGGTGTTCAAGATCAAACAGCAAGTCACAGCCTATGAGGACTGTTTATGGCCCGAGACCTATAGGGAGCAAATGCAGGAAGTGTTACGAGAACAGCGATTCAAAATTGCAGGCTGTGTCATGCTTAAGTAGCAGACGGCCCTTTTCTTGTCCTCCTGTATTTAGCTGTTCAGTAAACAAGGGCACACCAGAGACATTAGCACTGATTAGTCTTGAGAGCTGGAGCACTGCCAGACCTGAGCCACAGTACAAAACACACACAGACACACACACACGCACGCACACACACACACACACACACACACACACACACAAGTACACACATATGCACGTACACCACTGCCCCCGGCCTGCCACTCAGACTTGCACAGAGATACACACATATACTGTATTTAACTGCACACAAAGCATCCAGCATCCTCGCAGGGACTGAGTGAATGTCTGCTTGGCTAAACCTCGGCCCCTGGAGATCCCAGAAATCTCTCCATGTGGCCCTGTCAGTCAGTCACACTATAGAGGCGGCCTGAGCGGTGAAGATGCTGACTGACCTTTGCCCTGGAGAGGAGGGTGCGAAGCCAGTATGTTAATACTGCATGAGATAACTGCTAAACCCAGTGTCTTAGCAGGAATATTCTGAACGGGACAGCGTATTGATAGGATGAGGAGGGATAAATGAACAAAATCAATGAGGGATTGTCACTACTGAGTTCATACAGCAATTGTTCTGCAATGCAATACAAATACAGTATTGTGCTATTTCTAATAGGATGCCACAAATGTTACAGGACAAAACAAATGATCATGCAAAGATTCATTAATGTTATGACTCTTATTTTATTTTATTTTTATTGCACCTATGGTAAAACCTTCCTTGCCAAGTGGCCTCATTTTAGTTTCAGTGAGGTTGCACCAATAGAATCAGATGACTATTTGATAAGCCAACTGTAAATAGCTTCCCATTGTTTGCTTTTATTTTCAGCACCTGTGGTGGAGGATTTGGGTGCTGAGTGAGGTGTGATGGAGTGAGCTGCCGTAGAATACACACACACACACACACACACACACACATACACACACACACACACACACACACACACACACACACACATATTGAGAGCATACAGCAAGCGAGCATGCACTACTTGAGGAGAGACAGACAGACAGACGTTCCCTCTCTGAAGCAGCTCGAGGTGTGGGAAGTTATTGAGCGATGCTAAGCTGGCAGCCCTCTGCTGTGTTTGTAAAGTCAGTCTACAGGCACCAAACAACAACTTACTGTATCCTTGAGTCCACTCTAATATGGATGCACTCTACAGCAGTAAGAAAAGACTGAAACATAGATGGACTATTTTTATTTACTTATTTTTTTTGCTGATTACTTAGATGTTCAGATAAAACACTGAGCCTCGCTGCCTCCTTGTCATTCCCAGCTCTTTCAATTTCACCAAAAAGAGGTAAAATGGAATACAAATGAATTTAATATGTGAGCCTAATAACGGATCCCACATTATGTCTGTTTCATCTTTTGGAGGTAATAGCAGGTGGTCCATAATTGTCTGCGCATTCACTGGAGCAGTGGCTGTAAAAGTAACAACCATGGGATAAATGTTGATATGAGCTGTGATTGCTCATAGAGCAGGTTGTATATCAGAGGTGATTTTACAGTGGCTAGACACCTACTGTATAGAACAGATAAAGGTGCAAGTGGACATCACAGGGACAGTGTTCGGCCTGGGTGAGATAAATCTACACACACAATCTACAGAGAATTTGCCGTATATACCTTATATTTGAGAAAAGCTCCACGTGTTAAATGCATGCGCATGTGAATTCATGAATTTTTAGCTTCTGTACCTAATGCTCTAAAGGTCATGTTTTGAATATTTCATATGCTGGCTGTATGTATGCAAAGCCCCAGCAACCAACTGGCATTTGTAAAACAGCCCTGACCGGACCAACACAGAGACATTATTCAGTGGCTTGTGCTCTTGTATGTGAATAAGGAATAAAATCAGTGGTGGTCATTTCTGAGTATTAAATAATCTTTCTATTAGGTAAGAATTCTGTCCAGGAATTTGAATTTTTAGTTTATGTCTATGTTATTGTTTATGTGTTAATTGACTACAGCCAAGAGATCATTAAATAAAGTGCTACCACTGCAAATTGTACTTCCTGTCATGACCAGTAGGGGGTACGCTAGACTGTCAAATGAAGCATGGCCAGCACAGAGCTTTTCCTTGCATATAACTCAAACAAGATGTGTGTGTAGTCTTACTTCTTTTTAGCCGAACTGCCGAGACTAACGCTGACAACCAAAGTTATCTGTGTTGTTGAAAATTTATCGGTTAAAGGTCAAATAATATATTTTTTAATGAAAATCCTGAATTTGTTTGTCCGCACTGTTTTGGACATGCGGTATATGTCTGTAAGTGTGCTGTGCATAATCTGTCTGTGCAAGAGAGTCTAAAAACACATGCATATGCAAATAGACACACAGACTAACAATCGGACAAAGGAAGCAAGGGTGTGTGTAGGGGCCTTCAAACAGTTGCTTGGATACAAGTCTTTATCTTGGCTTGCATTTAAACAGCAGTAAGGAGTCAAACATGGTGCAGCAGCTCGAAAAAAACAACAACAAAAACACCTTGTTGAACTCTTCTGTGAGGACTCTCAGTCATGCAGGTCATGGTTATCCAAGAAAAGTTGAATCGAGGGCAACTGCACTTGGTTGTAGACACTTTTGTTGAATTCTGCTTTAACCAACTGTACTCTAATTTAATCATAGGGATTGTAGAATATCTGAGCCAAGATGAACAACCACCAAACATTACATACATATGTCATTCCAAGACTTATCAGCAACGCAGCCAAGCTTTACTGAGGTTTTTGATTTCACTGTGTAATGCTGACTGCCTCATGGTGAGGTTTGTGCCTCATCTATTCCATGACGATTCACTCCAGTTGTAGAGAAAACAGTCGCATGTAAGATGAGTGCTCCCATGTCTCTCTTTGACACAGGCTACGCATATCTGCACAGATGTGATGGTTGACTTCCCTGGTCACAAAAAGTTGAACTGTTGCACACCATTTAGAAGGCTCATTATGCTGTAGACTGAATCTGCTGTAGCTAAGTAGTTAAGTGCTGCACTGGCACAAATAGCCTCATTGGTCTGAGCACTGAGTCAGGGTCTCTCTTGCTGTAGCTTGTAGCAAAAATGAATCAGTTTGCATTTTCCGTTTTCAAAAAGCCAGCAGGCGATAAAGATGCGCTTCTGTCAGCTTCTGTTTTGCAAATGATACAGAATGAAAAAAAAGAAGAAGAAAAAACAAAGACAAGGCCAAACAAGAAGGAGAACAACAAAAAAAAAAAAGAAACGGAGGCAATGAAAGGCTGAGGCATATGTTAAGATGGCATGATGGCAGTGTGAAACATGCTGAGAAGAGGGAGCCGAGGCAGGGCAGCGACGACAGACTGGGAATACCAATGACATGACTTCTGGGAGTCTGGCAGCAAAAAATCTCACCACAGCAAAGTTCAGCTGTTCTGTGAGCTCCACAGAGACTCACTGAAAGAAGGAGAAAGCCTCTCTGTGCATGTGTGAGTCTTAATATGACGGAGACCAACTGCAAAAGATGAGGAGGATGTCACTGTGTTATGTCCTTAAGAATGATAAGAACAGTAACACACAGCTGTTCTTTAAGGTTTTGCCTGTTAGTAAAGGTTGATATTTTCAAGACCCCTGTATTTTTCCTCTAGATTTTTTTTTTTTTTTTTTTTTTTCAAGAAATGTAACCCCTGTTCATTGCTATATGTCACTGTCAACAACATGGTGTATGTTACACAAACAGGTGCATATTATCTGGGTTAGTGATGGTAGAAATCAAAGGTCCAAATATGAGCTAGACTGCAAATAGTGAAATTATTATGTTAAATAAACTGCTGTCAAAATGCAGCACATTAGATCTTTCAATCTAAGAGTTTGGAAAGAAGACCACTGTTCATATTTTTGTGTACAGTCAAAGCCAGTCTGATCTTTAAGGAGCAGGGTTAGGGTTTATCAGTGGTTCACTTTCTTCTTTAGGATCTGTTATCTGAAGCCGGCGTGTGGACATGACATCTTTTTGGGTGCAGTGTTACTACAAGCGAGCCACCGAATTTCATTTACTCCTACGTTCTTTCATGACTTTATATGATTTGTGAAAACCCGCGCACAGACACACACAAAGCCCTGTCTTCAGCTGACACCAGGTGACCCTTCGTCAAATATGAGGTCAGCCATGTTTGTTCATCACCTCCCTGTGTAAATACCTTAACCCACGAGTTTCACTCTCCACCCTCTCAGTGCAGCTCTGTGCTCCTTTGAAAGCCCACGACTTAAATGTTGGCCAGCAGGACTGTTTGTTTTATTATGTAATATTACATCAGCTTAAATGAGCAGAGTGACCAGACTACTGCATCTTCACTATGAACCGTAATGGGACTGATATCTAGTGAATTATAGATTATTCTAGATGATAAAAAAAACTATTCTGATGGATTACATCTTAACTACAACTACATTGTTACACAACCAAAGAGCTCACTACAGACCATTA